ATCAATCAATTTGTTTTTGTGCATTCATTTCACCTCTGTACATTTTCTGTGCACTAGGTTATGAACTAAACTTATTAACTAAGGGCTTTTGGTACTACCCGACTGCCCCGGTCGACCCACACAGAGCGGGTTCAAACCCAACAGCTTTGATAAGAAGCCATATACTCAATCGAATGAACCACATTTCAACAACTGTGAAGCTCTAGATTCATTTTATGTCATGCAGTCCGATTCTCTATACAACAAAGTCTTTACACAATTTACGGAGTATTTTGCCATCAAGAAGTGTTAAGTAGTCTGATAGAGTCCAGTTCTAGCATTGATAGTGAACACATTAAAAGACCTGATTATCATTTATTGTAGCACTAAACACTATTCAGATGCTTTACTAAGACTGGTTTATAGATTAAATTGTTACCTTTTAGTGTGCATATAGAAGAACTAGATCGTACGAAATGAAATCATTTCACTACATCAGAAAACTCTTGTTGTCATTGTTACACTAATTTTTGAACCCCTTTTTGTCTATATATCGGGGAACAATACACAGATAGGTATGCTCACACAAATTTGTTTTCTGGAGGTCAAATGTTGATGCACATTCATGAAACATGGTATGTATCAAAATATTTTTTAAAATTTTTGATTTAGACATTTCTAGGTCATATTTGAATCAAGCATTAGAAACGTGACATATTTATCACGTAACTTTCCAGTTTTTCGTTTTTATTCTTCACATTTTTGCAACACCAATACTTACCTGTTCCTAAACTAAGAATCCAAGACATTGATTATCTGTGTCTGGTTATTAGCGTACATTATAAAACAAAAGGGTTTTTTTAGTTTGAATTACCTCAAATTTACTTTTCGACATTTTCTTTAAACAAAACTAGAACTACGAGTACCATAAGCAGCATTTTATCTATGAGCGAATGAAAAATAATTAGGTGGATTTCAGTTCGCAACTCCAAATACAAAAGTCCTTCACTGCTGCAAATAACTCCTTTGTGACGTCAAATTCCTCAAAATTAACTGGTGCGATGAACATTATAAGGTCTAAACACTTGAAACTGTCGCAAATCACCCACATAACAGAACCATACCCAGATAATTGGAAAGAAAACACTAGTGTTGTACATTTAACACTAATAGGTATTCGAATATCTCACCAGTGAAAAAAGTAACGTGAATTGGTGGAAATTAATTCAAGCTATTTTGCAGATGATGACATTTCACCAGTAACCAACTCACAAAAGTTGATGCGATAACTCAGGCAAGTTAATTGTTATAGCAACCTAGCAGTTCTCTCTCATTTTCTAATAGCTACTGGTTAAAGTTACCTGGCTTTCAAAATCAAGCTGTTGCAAGAGATAACTGTTATTGGTTTAGTCGACTGTCATTCATAAGTAACACAAACACTTTTCTAGCTGGTTTAGCCTATCTACTCGTGGACCAAAAATGCCTGTTAGAATGAATACACATGTTTGTTTTGATTCATCACGAGAACTAGACAGCGTTCGATAAAAGTGTTCGCTGCTGCCGACTACGCTACCTGGATGATAACTACAAAAGGATATTGATGCGTTTAACTACCCCTCTCACTAATTATTGTGACATTCAATCAGAAAGCATATACATGACCATCAAGTGAGTTTAAAAGTTCGTTTTGTACCGTAGACCTCTATGTTATATGTCGATATCCAAACAAAGTTGGGATTCGGTAGTTTGAAAAAATTTGTGGACTAAGTAAATGATTATTATTATTTTGGTATTTTTAGTATTTTGCTACCATTTTGCTGTATCTCCACTTTTGATAAAATGTGGACTTACAGTCACATCTCCAGAAACCCAGCCCAGTTGTATAGACTTATAACATTGCATGAATGAAGTGAACAACCACGGTTGGGCCATACTTGCATACCGCAGAAGAGCAGTCGAAACCAGTAATCCATGATATCGAGGTTTTAAACAAATGAACTTCTTTGTCAGTTTTTAGACAGGATATGGATTTCAAAATGTAGTTTTTAGAGCCATTTCAGGAGATGCAGGTCGTCATTTACCATCATCACGATTTGTAGAAGACAAAAATATTTTACAGGGTTACTAATATGAAGACATGATGAAGTGAAGAAGACAGTGAGAAAGTAAATTTGCGGTAGACAATACAAATTCAAGTACTACGCAAACCAATTTCTGACATTCGGCCCTTACCTTTGAAGGTCACTTTCTGAGGTATATGTCTGAGAGTAAATGAATACCAGAAGTCTGGCCAACCCAGGGAACCAAGAAGCCTAGAGAAATATTATTTGAATCGGTAAAGAAGAACGAATTGAGCAGAATAACACGTACTGTTTCATTTCGCCGGTTTCTCATCAGCTGGTTACGACATAAAACATTTGATTGTCATATCACAAAAGAAGTCTGCAGGTAAATGAAATTTTTAATAGAGAACGACTTAGTTTAATAAAGAATACAAACATCAAAGTGAACTTGACAGGACATGCTAAGAAGGCTCAGTTATATATATGATTCAACAGAGAGTTCGAGAAAATAGCATGAATGGTAATAAAAGACTACTTAACAAGACTAACAGATCAGTTATTTGATGATAAGTAGCAGACAAATTACTTAATAGAAAATAAGATGAACCCAGTTGATCATCGAAATTATGTACGAAGTGGAAAAAGGTTCAATCGGAAGGTGATGTCATCAAATAAGAGGAAGAGTAAAATACTAGGTTACCACGGCAAAGACGAATCACTGCTTCTTTTTGAACGCACAATTCTGGTTTCAGTTGTTTGATGACTACAACCTCAGTGAACTTAAGAAGGTTTGAATTACACTGTTTGTTGATTATTTTGAGGATTCTAAGGTATCTGCTTCATACCGTGTGTCAAGAAGGTGCTGAATGACTGGACTACTGAAAGTACTTGTTCCCTTCAGACGCAGGCTTTTTGGTACATGTTCAAAGAAACTAAGGTATGCCTTTGTCTCCGTGCTGCCAGCTTAACTGCTATCACAGATGCACGTAAACTTGCATACACAATTAGAGGCAACATGGGAAGGGAACATGTTGACATTGGATTGTATCAAAAGGTATATTGTTCTATGGAGATGGATCAACTTGGCTGCAGGACATATTCTGTTCAGTGTGGCTTTCAGCCTCCTGTTAAATCTTTCAGAGACACCATCACCTTTGAAGTTGGGTTAGACCAAAACAGGTTTTTTGCTTACTGTAGTTTTCTAGAGCTTATTGTCTTCAGATCTTCCGTTTTTATTGGTAAACTTCTGTGGTTAACCGTTGTCTCACAGAACCTTTCTGACTCTGAGCAAATCTCCTTCCAACATATCACTCTGATTTGCGTTGGCAATTGCCAAACTCTTCAAAGGTGTTTGATTTCGATTTTGTTGAAACATATTTTAAGTTTTGAAAGCTTTTATCACCATCATCTGAGGGCGTAATACTTCCATGAGCAGCCCTTTTTAATGCTGTTTTTTGTTAACAACAGCACAGCAGCATGACAGAAAATATTTATCCTTTGGAAACAGCAAACTTCTTTTGTGCCCGGTTACAGCTAGCGATTCGACTTTCCCCTAAACTTTAAGATAAGCTACTTTGGTTTCACCGCACTGTAACCAATTTTTCTATCATGGGAAAATATTCGGAAAAAAAACAGCTCACTCTCTGATCATGTAAGCAAAATTTAAGAAAGAATAAATTTTGAGATATACCTAGTAATTGGTGATCAACAGTCGTTTATATAGTATCAACTAAATGTTCTGACAATATTTACTGATAAAGGCACTTATCATAAGAAGTTACAGAAGGTCAAGTTTAACATTAAGTGTATGACCGACTAATCCTACAATAACTTCCAAAAATATTCACATCATCCTGATTTCCAAAAGTGCCCTCATCTCAAAGTAAATGGTTTGATACAAATGTTTACTTCAAACTATTTCAAAGAAGCCTGGCCTTACACTGAGTTCATCTCTATGGACATTAAAGTGTGGTAGATACTAAACATAGGTTTCAAGTGAATATCAACTGGAAGTCAAGGACATCCTCACTAGTTAACAACCTGTGACTCTGAGTGTCCATAAAATAACGAAACCCACTAAGCCTCTCCTTCCATATGTAATAAAGTTTGGACTAAAAAAATAGATTTTGTTTAGAAGCTAATGTAGTGAAGAACAAATAATCATATCTAAATCGTGAAGCAGTGCTGAAGATGATTTGCTCAGAATGAGCAAAGATGTGATCATAACAAATTACAGTAACTACTTCAGCCTCAGTTGTAAATATCTACCACCATGTCAATCTCAACCATCTGCTTCACTGTGGAGTTAAATTTTTACATCTCGAGACAAAGTTGAAGCTGAAACAACTTGAAGTAGGTTTTTTAACTTGATTTCTGAGGCAGAAACCATCGCTACTGACAGTTACATGACTAGGATTTCTTATCCCTTACCTTAGTCTTATTATACATAATAAGTTCATGAAGCAAGTCTGTATGTCTGACAAAATTCTTTTAGTATATTTCAGAATGAGATTTCCCACTCAAACTAGTTATTACGATGGCATTGGTTATTCTTGTATATGCTGTAGTGATTACCAGTGAGTTTATGTTTTGCACTTGTTACCAATAGATAAAACTGTCTGTAAGCAGTGTTTCAGATTCATTCTGAGTGCAGTTCTAGTATCACAGCTTGGGTTCTTCCTGAGCAAACTTCAGTACACTAGCTTTTAGGTGAGAATGTAGTTCATAAATCTAATCTCAAAAAAAGGATAAGGGTTAATCAATATTTGTGTAGATACTACTTTATAAATGGAATATATAATAATTTATTTTCGGAAAAGTAATTATGATGTATAGTGGTAATCAAGAAAATACGTACGGTGTAAATATAATTTGTTTGCTATTGAAGTAAAGGCTTTTACACTATATGTATTACAGAAGGATATAGTTAACGAATTCGCAAGCTATGAGGTAACTTACCACAAACGAACTCTCAATTTCAACCACTTTGTGACCAGTGTTATAAAGTGTGATTGACAAGCCAAAGGCGAATATTAGAAAACAATAGAACATTGAAACAACACGTTGTGTATGATTCCTATACAGTAGAAAGCAAACGAATGACAGGACAGATAAGTAACATAGCATTTGACATATATATATATATATATATATATATATATTCAGAACATTTTATTTACAATTATCACTCGACACATTCATTAGAAGGTATGGGAACTAGGGAAGATGGATAACCAGTGAAAGGTAAACTAATGGACACAATAACTTCCAGCCTTAAAACCCTTAAATTCTATGGAAGACTACTGACATAAATTTAAAAAACTCAAGACATGCATTTTCATTCAAAGCTTATCATTTAAGAATCACACAAGGTTTTTAAAACTAATACTGATTAACATGGAATATTGACATTTCGACTAGCAGTTGAGTGGAGATTTGTTGGTTTGAATGTCCTCCACGTTGAGAATAACACCACTTGGAGGACGCTTGAAAACCTAAGAGCTATTTTGTGTCAGTTAGGGACTCTCTAGCAGTGCAGGCCTAATCGCCATGAGGCATCTCATTTAGGTCCAACAGATAGTTCAGTGAGTACGTTATTATTCGATCAATAAATTAAAATCCAACTGTTCGCTTTATTCAACTCCTTTCAATCCGTGATAAAATGCAGCCAGGATCCACGTCAATGGTTGGCATCCACCCCACTCCCAACTTGGTTAACTCATAGTCACGTTTTTTAATCAGAACTGCAAGGTGTTTGTCCGCAGCAAGTCACTAGTGAGCACTGAAGTATGATTCAGTTAACATTTTGTAAGAAATTGACTAGTCACAACATAGTTTTCATTATGTATTGGTTTGATGAACTGACAGAAGTCGGAAAACTTGTACCAATGGGCTTCAGCTTGATGGCTGTTTGGAAACGTGCTTAATATGTGATCTCACAGTCCTGAGTTGGATCACAATCAGAATCATAGATGTGCATCACTGAGGAATCCCGAAGGAGGATGAAACGGTTATCGATTGCTTCCAGGTATTCAATAGTTCTTCAGCTCAAATACGTCTGTAGTGAAAAATACCTCGGGATCCTGTTATCTTAGATATGCCCTGAGTTTAGACCGAATCAAGCGTATGCGGTCGGTCAAAATTACATAAAGGGACAAAGGGTTTGAGGACTTATCAGGGTTTCCATGAACTTCGTTAGTGAGGAGTCACAACCTTGCTTTTTTCATCTAAGTGTTTCGATTTTAATTTATTTCGTTGAAGTGAACCAGTGATACAAGGGAGCACCGAGGTATGCACCAAAAATTTCCTTAAATAATGACAGAGAACAAATGTGAAGTAATCGATAAACAAAACAAAACGGCAAATTTTTCCGAATAATAAATCGTTCTGACACCGTAAAAACTTTATAAACTCTGACTTCAATAGAATTCACAAACTTGCCAGTCTGACAACTGTTCGGTTCTTTTAAAAAATATCGAGACACCGTCAAGTATTATGAGTCAGTCAATGTTATAAACCACTAGATCGATATATAAATATATATATATATATATATATATATATATATATATATATATATATATATATATACATAAAGTACTGTCGAATCTTGCTAAAGAATCAGTGTCCAGAAAATAAAAGCAGCAACCTCGCCTGGTTAACTAGTTCACTAGTTACTAGCCGGTCATAAGCCCGGATAAACAAGGAACGTTGGGAATAGGGCTAATAACCCTACCCCATTAAACAAATCCAAACGCTAAAATTACTTCAAACCACAAAGAAAATATAAGAAGCAAAAATAAACTTATTCCTCACTAGAATTGGAGAGAAGATATGACGCCGATTGGTGAAAGCCTGCCTTCGGGAAGCCAATTGGCCGATCTGTCTTCTCTCCATCAATGAAAACAGAAGTAAGAATGGGGACATGGAATGTTCGCACAATGTTTGAAGCTGTCTGGCAAGACTGCCCACATTGCAAAAGAGATGAGAAAGTATGACATAGAAGTGCTAGGAATCTGCGAGGAGTCAGTAGATCGAATGCAATTGGACTCTCCAAACTGTCAACTGGAGAGTCGATAATCTACTCCGATATTCTCACCCAGACGACAACCACGAGCACAGCACACTGAGTTTCATGATGTCCCTAAGAACACAAAAGGCTCTCTCTCTCTCACACAGTAGGAACCAATCTCCTCCTCCACAATCAGGATCATGACAGCAAGATGGATTCTACTCAAAAGGAAGGAAAGTCACAATCATGCAATGCTATGCTACCCACCTACAAATAATGCAGATGAAGAGAAGAAGGAGGAATTCCAGAGACAACTGCAATCGGTACCGGACAAGACCTCACCCCAGATGGCAACATCAAAATTCTAATGGGTGGGGTGACATGAATACCAGCCAAACTGGGAGCGGACAACACACAAAGAGAACTGATCATGCGTCGAGAAGCACTCGATGAAATGAACGAGAACAGAGTACTGTTTACAGATTTCTGCTCATTAAATGATTCGGTGATTGGAGACGAGGCAGTGTGTACAAACACAAGGAGATTCACAAAGTGACGTGGATTTGATTTCACCAGATGGGAACACTAGAAATTACATCGACTTCATCTGAATGTGAAGAAAGTGAAGACACAGCCTAATGGACACAAGATGAAGAAGGGGGAGGAGATGTAGCTTCAGACCACTTGATATCTATCTAGTGCAAGGAACCTTCAAAATCAAACTGAAAGTCCTCGAAGAAGAAGAAGAAGAGAAGAAGGAGAAGGAGGTGATGATAGAACACAGTTCAAGTTCAACAACCACCCTCAACAGAAACTGAACTGAAAGACGAAACTACAAACGACATGTCTTCACGTCAGTCAGTCAGTCAGTCAGTCATCAGGAAGAAATGAGAGACATTGAGCAACATCTCTGAATGAACCTCTGTGGAAGGACACTGGAACTCTTTGAAAGCTATGTGGAAAGAAACCTGGATAACCGTGTTAGTAAGGAAGAAGAAACAAGACTATACAGTAGAAGGAATGGATGTCGACGGACACATGGAATCTGATAGAGGATGGAGTGTAAGATGGTGATGGTGAATCAGAAGATGAACCAGTACAGTGTAGTGCAGTGAGTGCAGTGCAGGGATGAATAATGAAAGATGAACTGAATACAACCTACAAAATATTACACTGGACAAAGAAGTGGAGAAGAGTGCCCACAAAAACAAAAGACACTTCTACGACACATTGGCAAGTGAAGCAGAACGGGTTGCTGGTGAGAGTGACAGAGACGTGACAACACTGTATCAAGTAACCAGGTTACTCTCTGGAAGGGGAAGAGATCAACTCAGATGAAATTGATGAGAGAAAGTAGAGGAATGCTGGTTACCAGAGAGGAGAAACAAAGGAGACGATGGGCTGACCATTTCAAACATCTCTCTAATCGACCACCACCACCACCACCACCACCACCACCACCACCACCACACCACCACCACCACCACCACCACCACCACCACCACCACCACCACCACCACCACCACCACCACCACGATCACCACCACTACCACCTGCAACTCGTTTAGAAATACCACCGGCAACCACAGAATTAGCAGTCAACACAAGCCCTCCGACAAGAGCAGAAGTGTAGTTGTGAACGCCAGAAAGTCGCTGAAATCCGGGAAAGCAGCAGGACCAGAAAGAGTTCCACCAGAAGCACTGAAAACAGACGTAGAGACAACAGCGGAAACGCTCACACCACACCACCAGTGCCGAAGGTTTGAAAAGTAGGGAGGAAGGAGGGAAGGAAGGAAGGAAGGAAAGGTGGCTGCTGACTGAAGAAGGGCCACCTTGTCAAATTCCAGAGAAGAGCGACCTAAGTGTTTGCAAGAACTGGAGCGGAATCATGCTGCTGTCCCTGTCCACCCCAAGCAAAATATTAGGCTGCATCATCCTGGAGAGACTAAAAGGTGCGCCGGATTCAAAATTACGATCGGACCGACTGGCTAGCTGGCTGGCTGGCTTCATAACAAATCACTTGCGGATCGAACATCAATGTTACAACACGCATCATGGAACGGAGAGTAGAATGGTAGTCAACTCTCTACCTCAACTTCATCGACTTTGCAAAGGCTTTGGCAGAGTCGGCCGACAAGTAATTTGGCAGGCAGCTGCCTCAACACTACGGTTTTAGTGCCGCAAACCTTTATGAACCTCACTCATTAGCAGCTATATGCTATTTGATGCTGCATCCCAAGTGATTGACAATGGAAAGCTCAGTGACACCTTTGAAGTAAAGACAGGAGTAAGACAGGGTTTGTTCCTATCACTGACATTATTCCTGACTGTCATGTACTGGACTGGTTCATGCAGCAGACAACTATAAGGCGCGAGAAGATGGGCATATGCTGGCTGGACCGATGGAAAGACCCCAGAAGATGATTTGGCTTTCACCAACAGTGATGATTTATGTGCAGTGTCTTGTTGCACAAACTCGATGATCTGCAGGCGACGACCAACAAGTTGGCAGAAGAGGTGAGGTGAGATGGAGATCTACTACACTCTTCTGCACTGCACTGCACGGCACTCAGCATAATGCGTGAACAATATCCGGATTTTCAACACTAATTCAGTCAAGTCAGTGCTTCCATAAGCCACAAGGAACTCTGGGAAAAACCAACCAAAAACCCATCGCCCAACAAATATACAGTAGACAAAAGTGGAGATGGATTGGATTGCACATACACTGAGAAAACCATTCGAAGACATCATGCGCCAGCCCATACCGTCTAGTGGAACCGAAATGGGAAACGACGAGTTGGTTGTCCGAGGGTGATATGGAGGAGGTGATGTGAGGAATAAATGGAAGTTTGTTGGCGGTGGTAGAGCCAGGTTGAAAAGACTGCAGAGAAGAGAGTGAAATGGCGACTTGCTACTGAATTCCTATGTTCCACTATTAACCCAAACGACAAATAATGATGATAAACAATGTACCAAAAAACGTTTTGCCTTTTTGTAAACTTTGGCGCAAAAGTGTGGTGATAACGTTTAATTCAAGATGACGGGCAAGTTATGCTACATAT